TCAGGGGAGCAAGCTTGGTTAATAAGAGATTTATCATACGACTGAAGAAAGCTTTTTCACAAGTGCAGGATCATTTAGGACAATGCCCGGTCCAATACTTAGAGAATATTGGACCGGCAATAGAGCATTTTGATTGGTTGATTTTAGATACTGGCCCTCTGGCTGCCTGAGTCTTGTAATAAAGTTTATTACAGACTTCACAACACTGCTGTTAAAACACAGGGAGGATCACATCCTAGAAAAAGTAAAGATAGTGTACAACAGTGTACACATTAAAAACCACTTACTTGTGTCTATTGTTTCGTCCATCACACAGCCAATGCCAGCGGCCTCAGTAAAACCATGATAGTGAGTTTCAGTAAGTCCAGTACATGTGAATGCAGGAACCATTCTGCAAATATATTTTTTCTAGTATCACTCACCTGAGCATACAGATTTACTACGAGAAACAAAACATGGGAGAACAGAATGGAAAGCCATAATTTACATAATCGAAGAGGATATACTTGTACATGTAAACTCATCATATATATATGTGACAAACTTTCCTGGGATATTGTTCTTCGATAATGCTTACTTGCAAAGTAGGTCATGTACATATTATACTCACCTAACATTGGTGGCGTGGTACTTTGCAGGGTGTCCCAAAACTCCAGAACTGAGCCAAGTAACTGAGTCATTACACACAGGGAACTTCAATCTTACAAACGTGCCCTTGACTTCAAAAAGTAGCTGAAGCCTATCTGTAATCTTCGCCACAACATTCACACATTGGATTCTCGGCCCTTCGAGCACATCAGTCTTGGTGATAGATGAAGAGCTACTTTCCACAGCTGATGAACAAATCATTTCAAAATACGAGAGAAGTCTTTCCATTAAATCAGTATTTTGCGTGGTAGAAGTCTTTCTACCTATACCAAGAGCCGATTTCGCGTTGCTTATCCTCTGTTTGATAGCTTCTAAACGACTTTGCTGATTCTTTTTTGCTTCAATTGTCAGACTGAAAATGGGTTTCGTTCTGCTTGATCTCGCCGTTCATTTGCACGTTTGTTGATTTTTGTACGTTTCTTTTTATCTGGAGGGGGAAAGCTGTCCATTTTCCGAGTCGACTCGCAGAATAACCTCAACAAAGGTCTCACACTAGGAGAAATTCTCTCAGACAACTCCGTAGCGAAGTGACTATTATTTCGTTCGCGTTATTGCTCGATCGGGCCTCGAATATATCGCATATTGGCGCATAAATTCACTGGAACACTGCTTGCCATTGTACCGGTGAAATGAAGACTCAAAAAAGACAAAGATAGCCGCACGGATGGCCTGTTGGGTAGGGGTGGCTCAAAATGGCGGGCGATTTGAATTTGACTGTAACAACGCAAAGTTTTTTACACGAAACGAGGAAATATTGTACTCCAAACAAAACTACTCACAGAAAAATAACTCTACTGATATTTTGCGACCGTTTCTGGGTATGTTTTATTGCTTTTGACAAGTATAACAAATACTAAGTGTTCGTTGCGGTTCTCCTCATCGTCCGCCATCTTTATTTTTT